CCCCCTCTCGTTCGCAAAAGTTCGCTTTGGCCGACACCCCCCTCCCCCCAAGTGCGAACGTAATATGAGAACAATGCCTTATTAAAGGGAATCAACAGTAAAACCTGACTTATTTGTTGTTGTTATTAAAGTATTATAATTATTATAATTGTAGTAATTATTCGTTTTCAAATATACAGACTTTTGTCGATAATCGATAGAAAATAATTCGTTTATAGAAAACACTATCTAAAAATATTTTGTCAATTTTTGTAAGCCAACATTTAATTAATCATTACACTAATACTGTGCTTGTTTTTGTTAACATCAAACAAACATTTATTAATTAAAGAGATCTAAAAATGAATATATTATTCGAAATATTGCAAACGTATGTAAAATTCATTTGAATTTAATATTTTTGTGATTAGTATTTCTGTGAAATAAAGTGTATTTAAATTCAAAGTTTTCAAACTCAGTTGTTTAGTGAAATGCAAATTTAGACAAATATATTGTGGAAATGTGTGAAACACTTAGCAATGATTTGGTGGAAGAGTTGAGTGAAGAAAATAAGAGACTTTTCAATGAGTTATCATTTGAGAGACAATTGAATGAAGTTTTGATGAGTTTTAGATGTAATGCATTAGTTTTGATAAATAACTGCAAATGCAATCAAAACATCGATTTATTTCACAATTTAATTAAAATTGAAAAACAATTTCATTCATTGAATGCGAGACAAAAACTTCACGAAAATGAGTGCAAAAGTAATGAATCAAATGAAGTGAAGAAGTGTTTGACAGTATCGACACAAACAACAAATAGTGGTAAAGGTTGTGATCTTTGCGATTATGAGACTAATTGTATTGAAAGTCTAATCAAACACAAGACCACTCATTGCAATACAAACACCACATCCCATACCTCTGAAAGTGATACTAAGGATCACATGAATACTGATATCACTACCACTCCGTCTGACGACTCCAATACCACATCCCAAACCTCAAGTCCCCAAAGGACCACAGTTTCTGGTGAGGAACAGTACTTCAGATGTAATTCATGCCATTTTGTCACAAAATACAGACCATCATTGAAAAACCATGTGATCACTCATACCATTCCCACTGATGACCAACTGTTCACTTGTGATATCTGTAATAAACGACTCAAAACTAGTCATACATTACAGCGACATATATATAACATGCATTCCTCGGACACACGTGTATTTAAATGTCATATTTGTGGCTATAGTTCAAAGGATAAGGTGGCCTATCGGTCACATATGTTTAGACGGCATTCAGTGATCATACCATTTGCAAAGAGAACTATTCTTAGGACATCTCAACCCACACTCCAATTCAAATGCAATGATTGTTATTACAGCACAAGCACCAAGCAACATTTAAAGAGACATGAGTTGACCCACACAATGACTAGTCTTTTACCTCCAGTTCGCACCTCCGGTACCCAAACAAAGAGTAAATCGTGTCATTCAAAGTCTAGTATAGTATGAACGGTGGGAAACCGGAAGTCAAATAAACACTGAACAGATACTTTGAGTTTAGATGGGGAGGGGATATGGGGATAGTTATCCATACTAAACTATATAATTGATTGAAATGCCGGTTCATAGGTATAAGTATAGGAAATACCGGAACAGTATGCTTATGGATCATATCTATCTATGACACACATCAACATCCCATAGCACTACCACCAGAGAACAGAAGTTATTTGGATGTGAATTATGTGATTTGATTACAAAATACAACAAATCATTGACAAAACATGTGACCACTCATACCATTACCACTGATGACCAGTCCTTCACGTGTGATGTCTGTAATAAACGGTTTAAATATAAACGATCGCTGCATACCCACAAGAATTTGAAGCTTTCAAGTGATACACATGTTTTCAAATGCAATATTTGTGGTTATAATTCAAAGCACAAGACTAATTATTAAGTTTATTTTTGTTAAATATTTTATCAATCATTAGAGTATAAGTTATATTTAAAAATTTCTATTTTCAAAAATATTAATTCTTTATAATAATTTTATATGACTATTCGTTTATATAAATAAGCTTACTCATTTGATAAAATTGTGTCTATTTATGACGATTTTGTTTAAATTTGTTGATTACTCAGGAAATTTTATTATTCATAATATATTTTTTCATCGATTAATAAAGGTTCGAGTGTTTTATCAATTGAATACTCAAATTATTATAAAAGATTATAATATTGAAAATCAAAAACTCATTCAAATAGTCAATACGTTTTGTATTAATCACTGTGATACACATAGCCACTATTTATAATACCTACTTTAAATTACATAATTTTTTCATTCCTAAGTATTACATGTTTTTATTAACATAAAACACATCTAAAAATGAATATAATATTTCTTCGTAACATTGCATTCGTATATAAAATACATTTGATTTGAATATTTCTGTGATTAATATTGATTTGAAATAAAGTGTATTGAAATTGAATTAAGTACGAAATGGAGACATATTATATACTGTACAATGTGTTCAAGAAATGCCATTAATTTTTTTTCCAATTGGATGACAATATGGTTTGCAGAATCTAATGTATGTGTAGTCCACCAATTAATCATGGTCGCTTGGCTTTATTTATTATAATTTTTTATTAATTAGTATTTCCTATTATTCTTATAGAGATTTTATAAATAGTTTTGCGTTAAAAAGCAATTTTGGGTAAACTTGTTGTGAAAATGTGTGAAACATTTAGGTTACTAAACCACCTTCTCAACTCACTTCTTTTATTCTCTGAAAATTTACTCAATAGTAAACTCTCTGTTAACTTACTTCAAAACTAAACAAAATCTTCATTACGTAATCAAAACTATTTATTGACGAAATGCAAACAAAATATCAATTATAAAGTGCTTAATTAATTTTAACTTTTTGTTAAAGTAAGTAATTTACAGTTTGTTTTTGGAGTGCTTTTACTCAGGTTTCTTTCACTTAGTTTACTTCACTACAGATTCAACAATAGATGTCATAGGACACAAACAACAAATAGTGGTAAAAGTTGTGATCTTTGCGATTATGAGACTAATTGTAGTGAATGTCTAATGAAACACATGACCACTCATTGCAATACAAACACGACATCCCATACCTCTAAAGGTGGTACTAAAGATCAAATCAGTACTGATATCACTATCCCTACGCCTGACAACTCCATAACTACATCCCAAACCTCCAGAAGTTCTGTCGGGTCTTCAGCATCCCGTGAGGAACAGTACTTCAGATGTAATTCATGTGATTTTGCCACAAAATATCAATCTACGTTGAAATATCATGTGATCACTCATACCATTCTCACTGATGACCAACTGTTCACTTGTGATGTCTGTAATAAACGATTCAAAATTAAGCATACATTACAACGACATAAGAATTACATGCATTCCTCGGACACACTTGCATTCAAATGCAATATTTGTGGCTATAGTACAAAAATTAAGTGTAATTATGAGTCCCATATGTATAGATGGCATTCAGTGGACACACCACCGCGTGCTAAAACACAACGTATTCATCGGTCATCTCAACCCAAACTGCAATTCAAACGCAATGATTGCTATTAAGAAATGATTGAATTCTATACAGAGTATATAGTATATAATATGTAACAATTATTAGATAAATAGTTTAGTTTATAAATACAATATGATCCGCTTATAAACGACTCTGATATTAGAGAAACCCTTATATAAGAGAGACAACTACTGCGCACTGGCAGCTCCTATGGGCCTGTAATGTATAAGGACTCGGATATTAGAGAATCGTCAATAAGAGAAATTCGGATACATCTCTGTCATTAACACACGTGGGTATCTTATTTGTCACGTAGCCTATATTTTCTTAATGTACACTAAGTATGAACATTGAGGATAGAGTCTCCGAGAGACCATATGAACTAAAATTAATTTCTACCAATCAATGTAGTAAATGATTTTAGGTTATGTACAATTTATCAGTTAATTATAAAAATATCCATTTTAGATTCTTAAATCTCTCCTATCTCAGAGGCTCTCTGGTATACTTGATTTTAATTAAAGTACCAATCAATGTAGTAAATGATTTTAGGTTATGTACAATTTATCAGTTAATTATAAAAATATCCATTTTAGATTCTTAAATCCGATTCATTAAAGGTTTATTAAAATATGTCTATAATTAAAAAATTTATTTTAATGTTTTTAATTTAGTACACTTATTCTAAAATATTTTTGTTTAACTAATTGATTCTTTAACGTTATACAGTATATGGGATATATTAACGTTAAGTGATTATTAGTTATTTTTAAAAATAAGAATATATGGACCGTGTTATTCTGAAAACGATTATCTATTTAGCACTGCAAGCTGTATAGCTCACAATCAAATGCAATCATAGTATCAAATATTGCTTATTACTTTTATGAATAATTTAAACTATATTTATAGTAATAGACTAACTTTTAATTAATTTTAATTAATAATGAGTGATTTTAATTATTAAATTAAATGTTATTGGTAATATTAAAAGCATTTATGATGATTTTATTAAATATACCTTATATTCTTACAAAATACATAACCGTTTTCAGAATAAAACGCTCCATATGTATCAATTAGAAATTATTTAATTAATTTATTTATGTTTTATTCGATTTCATACTTTTAATTAAAATAATTTATTCACTCTGAGCTGTGCTTTATAATGACTGTGTAAGTTTTACCTAATTTTAGGTAAATAGTTAATTAAGTTTATAAATCGCGGGCTCATGGGGCATTCTGAATGACGTCAGAGTAATATACAACAATTACGTCTCTATTAACCTCTACTCGTCTATAAGAGAAATTCGGATATAAGAGAATAATAGGCCTTGCACCCACAATTCTTTAATAAGCGGGTCATATTGTATAATCAATAATAGAAATTGTCAGAAAGTCTAATCAAAAATTAAAAACAATATAATCTCAAGGAATTTTATGCAATTGTTATTTTTTACTTGTTGATCATAGCTCCGGTATCCCATCAACCAGTAAGATATTGTTATTTTAATGTATTGATTTACAAGCAAAGTGTACAGTAATAGGGATTTATATACAATATTCTTTAGTGTTAATACATAAGATGTTTTGTAAATACCGTAATACTGCACTGAATTTATTGATTCAATTATTGATCAGATAAATTAGGTTAGGAAGGGGAATAAGTAGGGGTATAGTAGGGGAATAGTAGGGGAAAGCGACAGTAAGAAACTTATTATTAAAGGGAATCAACAGTAAAACCTGACTCAATTGTTGTTGTTATTACAGTATTATAATTGGGAGTATATCAAAATATTTTTAGATAGTGTTTTCTATAAAAGAATTATTTTCTATCGATTATCGACAAAAATCTGTATATTTGAAAACGAATAACTACTACAATTATAATAATTATAATCGTATACACCCAAAATCTCGAAAACTAAAATCTCGAAAACTAAAATCTCGAAAACTAAAATCTCGAAAAACAGAATCTCGAATTTCAAAATCTCGAAAAACAATCTCGAAAAACAGAATCTCGAAATATAAAACCTCGAAAAACAAAATCTCGAAAACATAATCTCGAAATTTAAAAAATCGTATTAATAACACTAATAACTAGCTCATACACATATATCTGATATAGCTAGCATGATTATTACCTTGTTGAACCATTAGGTTGGGTTAGGTAACGCGCGGAGTACTGGCCCGGCCCGATACAGTTTTATCGGTTTCAGCTTTTCGCATATAGCAGATATAGCTTACCATACCGGATTGTTGGGTTAGGTAACGCGCGGAGTACTGGCCCGGCCCGATACAGTTTTATCGGTTTCAGCTCTTCGCATATAGCAGATATAGCTTACCATACCGGATGCTAACTACATCAGATATATCTGGACGTGCTAGTTACTCCGGTATAGTGTTATTAATATGATTTTTAAAATTTCGAGATTATGTTTTTCGGGATTATGTTTTCGAGATTATGTTTTTCGAGATTCTGTGTTTCGAGATTTTAGTTTTCGAGATTTTGATATACTCCCCATTTTGTGAGCATTTTGTTGTTTGACTTTTATATTCCTATACCTCTATTTGACTGCAAATATTTGACGTATTATTGAGTAAACAAATACAAAATACATTTATCGAATATATCAATATTACTGTATTGAGTCCCTTATTTTAAATGTTTGTCTCATGTGTTATACAGACTTTAAATAATAAGTTGTCATACAATGTGACACAATATAAGGTCAAAGAGGTATCTGTTTGTGAAAAAACAAACGTTTTATGCTTTTATGACAATACCTTTGACTTTTCTTTTTAAACATTTTATATTATATTAAATTTTATTATAGTTGTGTATAAAATGTGATTTTAATATAAGAAATAGTTGTTATTTATAGGTGTGTTTGTATAACACTGTCTATTATTTTTCACATAATATTACCCCAAAATGTTTTACGTTTTTTCATTTTCCTATATAATATTCTCATTATTATCGATATTGTCATAAAATATAATACATGTCATGGTATTTGGGAACCGATACCTACGGAAAGTTTTTACGTAAATTGCTTTTTAATAAGAATTTATAACAATGAAGAAAACGCTTTACTTTTGCTTTTTTGTAATTTTGTATTTTATACTAACTGGATATCATGTTAAATAAAACAATTTAATTTATAAAATTTTTGTGTGAATTGTATTTAATTTCAAACACTAATATATTATACTAATATATTTATGTTTTATTTTTATTTAATTATTATTTAATTACAAATTATTAACATTTGTTGAGACATTATGCACGGCTATTGTACTTATGCAGTATTAGTCGATGGGAATGGTAGATGTTTTACGGGATGGTGGCATCATGGTTGGGTGTTTTCACATGGATGGGTCCGTGCATATCCGTATTGCCGGCGTTCAGGATCGTCACCATCGCATCCACTCTGTCCACCGATTGTCTCCACTCATCTCTGGTTTCGGGATTCTCGGGGTCCATAAGATCAGCCCTTCTGTTCTTGAGGAACTTCGTGAGCCACGCCTTCTCGTCTCCGGACACGTGTCCCGTCTTCTTGAGGATGGCGTTGATTGAGTCGCCGTCGTCTCCGTCTCCGTGTTGTATAATGCAGTCATACAGAGCGCACTCAGCCAGCGCTAACTTTACGCCGTATGTCTTAGCATGGTCCATTGCTGGCCTACAAGGGCAATGGCATTCAGTTTTAATTACCGGTTTATACATTTCTAAATGTTATTAGAATACTACAGCCTGTCCACCTATCCACCTGTCCACCTATCTTTACTATTCATTATTGTCAGTTATATTTATGTTTAGCAATACTTATAGTTTCACTCATTCTCTCATCCCTTATCCCCTCATAATAAGTACCCCATTGTATGAAGAATTTAATTATGGTTTGTTTCACTTATGGTTAGACAACAGTGATTGAGGGCCAGACATGTCTGCTACGCATACCTGTAGTACATCTCATCGCTGACCTCGTCCTGGACCTGACGGAAGACCGAGTCTTTGGCGGCCTCTTTCCAGGCTTCGACATATCCCTTGAGGTTTTTGGTGTCCCCACTGCCCGATTTGGCCAACTTCTCCAACTCCGGCAGGAATTTTGCGAGCGGGTTGTCCTTCTTCTTGGCGGTGTACTTACGCACCACAACCACCGCATCTCCCGTTCCCGTGCAGAAGCCGGCGCGACCTGACGTATAGCCCCGGCCGTCGTGGATGTCCTCGCAATAGGCGTATTGCAGTTCAATGGTGTCGTTCTCGAAGATCGATGTGTACTCTTCGCACCTCTTCTTGGCGGCCGCCGGTAGGTCTGCGCCCACCCTATAGACCACAAACAACAACACGAATACCAATGAAAACTTCATGACTTGCGATCCCTTTTGCTAATCAATCGGAAGACTCAATGATTTGAGGACTAAATCATTGCACTCTTATATACCATTTGTTTTGCAATTAATTATCTACTTTTTTCAAGTTGTTTACCATTTGTTCAATTTTTGCAATCAATATTTTTGTGATAAATGTTTTTACTTTAATTGATTATCATTTTTTAAATTAGTAATTGATTGTACAAAATTCTAGAAAATATTTTAATACTTTATACAGTATCATTTTAATAACACATGTTTTGCTTTATTAATTGTTAATCAGTTTATTAGTATTTTCTCATTAAAATCTAACTTGTATTATTTCTTACCTGCTAACCTATTATTTTTACATTATCAATTGAATCTAGTACCCGGACTAATACTTTGATTCAAGTCCAATGTGCGCATAAATTTGATACCCAGTACAATAAAGTGAGCTTGTTATCTTGCTTATTATTTATTGTATAACTCTTTGCCATTTTGTCATAGAAAAAATATTTTGTTTCCCAGACTAGGCAACTAACTTTTGACACATTAGTCTGTTTGCCCGGTGTATAGCAATTTGTTAAATCTGTGATCAAATCCAGGGTTTTAGCAATTAATTATGAATAACACATTTACTAAAAAGAGATTTTTAAACAGTATAATAATTTCCCAAAGATTTAGTAACCGAGGCAATTAATTTTAGAAATTATTTAATATCTGCAATAGTTAAACTTATTCATCAATTCTAATTTTTACATATACTATGTGTATACTGTGCAAGGTAAAGATGTATAGGTAAAAATGATTATGATTAAATGCCTAATTTTCGAGTTAATAAGTATCTTTGTATTAATATTTAGGGTTTGCATGTAATGCATGAATACATTGAATGATTTGCATTATTCGGAACACAATTCTTAAGATGTTTTGTCGAAATGTTTAACTATTTATAAATCGACGCCAATATTAGTATTCAATCAAAATTATATGATTAATATTTATCACATGTTAAGATATGTATTCCATATAATGTTATACTCTATGCTAATATAATTAATTTTTATATCAAAATATCAAATGTCAGAGATGTTGAGATGTGGACTCATCGTATGCTCTCAAAGACTTATAAGACACCAAATATTATGTGTGGGCTATAGTGGAAATCTTGCCATGAAAAACTCCCTTCACATTAAATACATGTTAGGATTATGGCACTAAATATTACCTGTACTCCAGTATTCAGGGGTAGTAGTGAATGATATGAATTAAATTAGATTATTTTATTTAATTGTCCCTTAATTTACTATATTTCACTACAGTATTACATTATGCATTATTTAGTAAATTATACTGTATATTACATGAGTTAAGAAAAATATTCATGTGTTTATTATTATTATTGTAAACTCTTTTTTATTAAATATTGATTTAGTTGTAACGGAAATTAAAGCAATAACAATAACACTCCGGGTTATAAATTATAGCTAGGTTATAAGAAAATTGTGTGCACTCTTTGTTTGCAATCTTTCGTGGGTTTCATATAATCATTGATAATTGACTTTCTTATGTGTATAAATGAATGAATTACATATAATTAAATGTATTTATCTTTTGTATTATTAATGTTTGATTTGTGTCTTTTCATTAGCTTTTTGTTTATTATATTTCAGTATTTTCTTAGAATTGTTGTCAACCATAAAGAGTTGCAATTAATGTCTTAATCCCACAGTATTTACCAAAGCAGTCATAATTATAACAAAAATGTTAGTAATAACCAGGATATCATCCTACAACTTCTATTTTTATGTCATCTGTATGATCTGGTTATTTCTATAAGATTTGAGAATTTATATAAATAGTATAATTACTTTATTTATCTAGGTTATTTATATCGGATTTAACTATTAATAAATTTAAAAGATTTGGACTTCTCTATTATTATTATAATAATAGTTATAATGCAATTGCAATTAATATCAATATTATCTCAAAGGAAATGAACCTTTGTTTTAAACATATCTATTATTAATTTAAATCAATTTTAATACCATGGTAATACTATAGTGCAATTTTAGGACGAATTACTAATGATAAGCAATATCAATATACAGTTTAAGAATATGTAGTAAGTCTTTATTAAGTCTTACATGTTAATGACTAGAAATATATTTTAGAAATACATAGTTTTATTTTTAATAATATCATTTTTATGCCATTATTTTTCATTTAGGCTAAGTAAATTTAATTTTTCGTTTTATAATTACTATTATAATGTTGTCTATAGTGTGGGTCTCCTATAAGAAATATTGTTCAAACCTTTTCTTTAGAGCTAATTTATCCTGTTTGTTACTGATAATAAACTACTGTTTGTTTAACATTGTCTATCTGTAGTTGTATATCCTATATTATTTGACTGGTTATCATATTTAAGTTATCATAAACATAACTTGTATAACGAATTACTGATCAAATGAATTCGATGGTCGACCCAAATAATTATGAAAATACATCAAATGTTTNACTGTTTGTTTAACATTGTCTATCTGTAGTTGTATATCCTATATTATTTGACTGGTTATCATATTTAAGTTATCATAAACATAACTTGTATAACGAATTACTGATCAAATGAATTCGATGGTCGACCCAAATAATTATGAAAATACATCAAATGTTTATTCATTGATCACTTTCATATGATCTAGTATACATATCCAAAATAAGCTCTCTCTCTCTCTCTCTCTCTCTCTCTCTCTCTCTCTAAATGTAGAGAAATAGCAATTTGTGAAGACTTTGTCTTTAATACAAATATATTAATGTATTTGAAGATCAATTTAATGCTATTTATATAACCATAATATAAACTCTAGTGTCGGTCACAAGAGTTTGTATTATTTGTTTAATTTGTATACAAATTGCATTGTATTTGCAATTCATTACATTAATAAATAAGTTATATTCAAGTCATCAATATTGCTGAACACCATTCATATAATAGAGTTATTTTCCATTTTATTCATCATAAATTAAATATGATATAAAAAACAATGTTAACTCAAATTATAGTGTATATATAAATAGTATTGGAAACATATAAATTAAGCATATTATTTGTTGTGAAAATTAAAACATTAAATTTTTCTACTTTTAAATTAATTATTTAAAAATTACTTTTTAAGAGATATTATTATCAAATAAATTATACGATATATAAAAATACATTTTAAAGGTTTTGCTAAAATTTGTCTAAGACTTTAGTCTAAATTATTAATTAAAAATTAAAGTATAATCAAGTATAATTATTTGCATCGACCTTATTTGACCTATGATCTTAAGAAACTGTCAATTCAGCTACTTTTTCTATGTAATCCGGGTGTTGTTTAGGTATTTGTTTTGATACCATTAAATACTTTTCTATTAGCATTCACTGTGTGTGTAAAGCATTCATTAGTTTATCAGCAAAAATAAGCCAAACGTATTGTACGAGAATATTCTGTTGTCTAATCAATAATTGCTGACAATCTGATTGTCTGTATTTTGCAAAAATTCACACTTTTTGCGAACTTTAAAAAAATGTTTGTTGAAAACATTTCATAATATAATTTTCGACAAAAGGCATGAAAACTAGTAAATGTCATCGAAATCAAGATTTATGACATAACTGTGTATTATATGATTAAGAATGCGAACAAATATCTATTCATTTGCCAATATATTAATGATTTGCCAGTGAATGGGTGTCAAAAGGGAGGCAAACATTAAATGCGATCAAGTATTTAGTGCTAACCCAACGAGCAATTAATCTCTTGTAAAGAGGATTGAAAAATTGTATATCAAGTGATGGCATATCATTTGGAGCACTATTTGTTAGGCAACTATCTGACAGTAGTGAACCACTGGTTTAGTATAATGTATCCAATATTTACCATTGTACATACATTCTGTACAGAATATTCTGTATAATACAGTGCAAAGTACTATGGTAAATTTTATTTCTTACGCTGTAGTTGTCTACATGTTATCTCAATTGTAAGTATGTGTAGAAAAACTGATTGTTATGTTTGTTTATAATAAAGAATTGTATATATGATTATTATTTTTGGTTTCTATTTATATTGCAGTGATCTATCATTTTGTCGAAACAAAAAACTATGCAATGAATTGCGAGATAAAAAACAGTGACTAAGACATCAGATTTAGGAAATGCTATTAATGTTCAAGCTTTTTATATAACATTATATTGATATATACAGTACAGAATATATGTGTTTCTATTTTGGAGTTGTGTTTAGTTAATGGAGTGCACCGTTAGCTTACATTTAGAGTTATATTCATTGAATTTTTATTAGAAAGAGATGTTCACTGGTTCTCCACTACCAGACCATTGCAAATAATTAGCACTTTTCGGTCAATACTTAATAGAAATTTGTGATCATTTTAATATGATTCCCACATTGAGCTAAATATAACAATTTCAGACATCTATCACAGATTCCAATCCGCTTTTCCCATAAAATGTCTTCAAATTTTTATAATATGCATAATCTGTTCAGTCTATGCCATAGACTCTATGGCATTACAAAACTAATACCCATTTTTGTCTCTCTCTCTCTCTCTCTCTCTCTCTCTCTCTCTCTCTCCCAAAATGCCCGTACTTTCAATCCTATGATTTATTTATGAGTTAGAAATATAGTGCACAGAATTATGTCTCAATTCCTAACCCTTGGCTCAAGTTTTGCGAGATTTGTAATACCCATAAGAATAGAGCAAAAAATTATTTCATATATTCATGCAAAGCATGTATTGAGTGAAAATCTACTGCTATGATAATACTGTATAAGTTTTTAAAATATCCTAAATATTATGCATTACTTGTGTTAGAGATACAATTTATTATTGATTTATTGTGATAATGTTTTTATGTTTAAATGTAAAATACGAATTTGATTTTTGTCACAACTTATTTTATTTTTAATTATATAAATTATTAAATACTTTATAAATATTTAGTAGAAATTTGATTTCCTATAAAGTTTACTTCATTAAA